GAATCCAGGATTCAAGGCACTGTCACTTCAAGCTTCTGTTTTCCTTGTCATTCACTTTCAGCCATTTACCATAGATTAATTTTTGCTTTTATTCCTTATTCTTTCCCAAACCATAACTAAGCCTTAGTCACAGACAGCTACATCTGCAGACTTTGATTATATGACTCTTCCAGTAGAAGAATCACTGATCTCTGCAAGACAGTGACCAGTACCAAAGTGACCAATGCATTATCTTTCTTTGCTGAAATAGAAACTTTCAACTCTGCTCCAAACCTTTCCAGTCTGCCAGGCCTTTCTCACTTTTAATGGCACTTGGTAAATAAATTTACTTCCTATAGTATTCAGTTAAACTACCAACATACCTCAAAGAAAGATATATATTATACATAAGAGCTACTGTGCAGTTGTGAGCTTTCCCAAATTATTTCAAATAGGTATAAAAATGGCTTATAAACTATTTTTATTACAGTCTTTCAGAATTTCTACTTTTAGGATTAATGGCTTGTTATAGTCTGTTTTGTAAGATGTGTGTTTCAATGTGGTACAGGCTACAGTGAAGAGTCCCATTTAGTAAAGAATGAGAAATTCCATTGTTATATTACCCTTTCACGTTTATTCTGATTTGTTGAATCTCTGCTTGTTACTTTATTTCCTTAAACACTGTGCTTTATGTGTTCCCACATCAGCTGTTACTGGAGGTAGAAAACATCAACTGCATTGCTGTCGATTGGAAAGACGGTGCAAAAGGCACCTACGTCAGTGCAGTGAACAACATCCGTGTGCTTGGGGCTGAGATTGCTTATTTCCTAAAAATCTTACAGGTAAAAGCCACAGCTTTACCACCTACAGACAGCTACAGCTGCAGACTTTGATTATATGACTCTTCCAGTAGAAGAATCACTGATCTCTGCAAGACAGTGACCAGTACCAAGTGACCAATGCATTATCTTTCTTTGCTGAAATAGAAACTTTCAATTCTGCTCCAAAACTTTCCAGTCTGCCAGGCCTTTCTCACTTTTAATGGCACTTGGTAAATAAATTTACTTCCTATAGTATTCAGTTAAACTACCAACATACCTCAAAGAAAGATATATATTATACATAAGAGCTACTGTGCAGTTGTGAGCTTTCCCAAATTATTTCAAATAGGTATAAAAATGGCTTATAAACTATTTTTATTACAGTCTTTCAGAATTTCTACTTTTAGGATTAATGGCTTGTTATAGTCTGTTTTGTAAGATGTGTGTTTCAATGTGGTACAGGCTACAGTGAAGAGTCCCATTTAGTAAAGAATGAGAAATTCCATTGTTATATTACCCTTTCACGTTTATTCTGATTTGTTGAATCTCTGCTTGTTACTTTATTTCCTTAAACACTGTGCTTTATGTGTTCCCACATCAGCTGTTACTGGAGGTAGAAAACATCAACTGCATTGCTGTCGATTGGAAAGACGGTGCAAAAGGCACCTACGTCAGTGCAGTGAACAACATCCGTGTGCTTGGGGCTGAGATTGCTTATTTCCTAAAAATCTTACAGGTAAAAGCCACAGCTTTACCACCTACTATTCTTAAGTGGATGTAGTGGGGTTATGATGCTGCTGCTTTGATTTTGAACCTTGTCCAGTATGGTCAGCCAATGCTTCAGGAAGAGCTGAACAATGTTGAGAAAGAGCTAATTACACTAATTATCAACTCTGTAAGGACTTCTGACAGCCACAAAAGACGCAAATTAAGCTAATGCGGTAGAAAAGAGGTGCCAATTAATTAAAGACCAGTAGGTGGCAACATTTCCATATGATGATACAGGCAAGAAGGCATTCAATGGAAATGAGGCAAGGCCTAAGAGTTCAGCGATGGCAAGTTTTGCCAGCTTTTGTTTATATGTGTGCTGTAAGTAATTAGTATCTCAGCTTAGCATCATTGAAACAAGCAGGAGCTGGCTCACTTGATAATGCCATATTTGCTGTCTACAGGCAAGATAAACTGCCCAGTTGCCTTCTGGTTGTGAACTTCATGTTCCTGAAGGCAAGTGTTCGCATTTAAACACATAGCACAGAACCGCTCCCTTGCAAAGTTTAAAAGTATCAGCATTTTTCCCACTGACTTCAGAAAGACTCATGAGTACTTGAAACTGCTGAAAATCAGAATCCTGCCTGGCCATGGACTTAATCCTGGTCAGGAGGTGTTCATCTTACAGGGCTGCAAGAGGTAGCTCAGAGCCCACAAAGCAAAGTGTCAACTTTGCAAGCACCTGAGTATCAAACACTCCCCCAGAATCTTCTGGGGTAAAATCTACAGCTTCTACCTATGAAACTCATCTCTAGCCTCACGTTTGCCTCCACATCTTTCTTTTTTGTGCACAAATCCCAGGTCATTGGAATATGGGTTCAGATTTTCATTTAATGAAATGCACCATTTGTAGTCTAGGCCTCTTTCTTCCATTACAGAACACAAAAAAAAAATAGTAATGCAGAAATGATTCTTAGGCTTTCTTTTCTTTTCCCTAATTTACAAACTTTTAGAGTCTGATTTTAGGAAAAGTTAAGTTGCATTGTAAATGGAAGTACTACTGTAAAATGTATTCAGAGGAACCTGCTGTCTAACAATAAAGGCAGACAGGCCAATACTACCGATTTTTTTTTATTTTGATACACGCATGACAAAACACAGCCTGGTGTAAAAACCTCACACAATTAGCAACCAATCCTTGTTGTCTTTGGACACTAAAAAACCCACCAAATCCCTGGAAGAAAGGTGACCCCTGCATACAACCTGCATGCTGGTTAATCTCCATTCCCACCTTCAAAACACGTGTAACATCTCAGCAGTGCAGGTCTTGTACAGGTGGCACTTGGCAAAGAGGAGAATGAGTGTCACCCCACCTAAGCCTGTCAGTGAAAATATTATTGAGTGACACCATCACATATTCTAAGCAGACATATGGAGAATAGACATATGATAAAAGGGCTCCATAATTGAGTAAATAAATAAAAAGTAAGATCATTTTGATGGCAGATGAGATTAGGGGTTGATCCAAATGAGAAAGAAGGTTTGCATTTTGTCACCAACAGTAACTGACTATGATAACCACATGCCAACACTACAACAGAGAATCCATCATCACTAGGCATCTAAAATTCTAGATTAGATCATTTGCTATCAACTCTTAGTGTAATTTAAATAATAATCAACTCAAGGAACTTACACCCTGCTTGCTATGCAGGAAGTCAGTCTAGATGTTCCCAAAGGCCCACAATGTAAGACATCCTCTTTGATTGCTATTTAAAGCCTGTGTTCTTGTCTCCCACCACCATCACCTTAATAATCAGAACAACTTCAGATACCTCCTTGGCAAAATTCATTTAATTGGCCACAGTCTGGGAGCACATACTGCAGGAGAGGCGGGAAGAAGGATGCAAGGCATCGGGCGGATAACAGGTAGGCTGTTCACCAAGGGACATAGCACTTAAAGCTAACATAGCATTTTCCTAAAGGAAAGAAATTGTAACACACTGCAATTCCAGTCTGTAGACTGGAATTAAATTATTGTTAGTGCTGGAGTCACCTTGTGTGAGAGCAGGCAAACTTTATGCTTCTCTGAAACAAGGATAATTATTACATCTTCTTTCTCTGATTAGCTTTAGTGGAAGGACATAGTTAATGCTTGTAATATCACTGTTGTTCACTGGGTTAGATCAAGCCCTACACAAAGACAAAGCAACATATCAAGAATCTTTAGTTTTTTCTATTCCTAAAGCTTTACAGGCCAGTAATAAACTCACAGGTAATGAAGTGCCTCCTTCGTAGTAATACGATGCCATTATATAGTGCTTTAGAAAATATTTTTCTTCTTTTGGAATAAGTTTGCAGGAAGGTTCACAAAAGCATGTTATTACAATTTTTTCAGTTTAGCTTAGAATTCACATGATTATTATTCAGTATGCTTGTGTAGTACTAAACATGTGATATTGTTAGTTGGCAAAAGAGATATTAATACATGCAACACTTCTCTCTCTTCCTCCCTCAACCAATAAATGTGGGGGTTTTCAGGCTTAGACCCTGCTGGGCCCTATTTTGAAGGGACTCCTCCGGAGGTGAGACTGGATCCTTCAGATGCAAACTTTGTTGATGTTATTCACAGCAATGCCCCTCACTTTCCTGCTGTAGGTAAGTGTTCACATGCAAATAAATAGCTGCAGGGATGGGCAGGTCACCAAGACACTGACATCATCACACCTGTATCTCAGGGCTTGGAATCCGTAACACCAGTGGTCACCTTGACTTTTACCCAAACGGAGGAACTGTGATGCCTGGATGCAGCGATTTAACTAAAGAGATGAAACAAAGTGATTTTGAAGCTGTCATTGCAGGTAAACATACATTCCCAATATGCCTAGTACTCTATTTTTGTTCAATCCTGAAATGTGAACTGTGATTTTTTTTTTTCTCCCAAACATAACTGTTTGTTTGGGAGAAAAGAACAAAACAAAATTGTTTTTTTGCCTATTTACTCATAAGCAAGGAAAGGAAATAAGAATAAAGAATAAAGGTTGGATCAGAACACTGTAGGGACAGGAAGTAAAACACAGGCTTAAGCTTTGCTTCTGAAATTTGAAATTGGACCTGCAGAACACAAAAAGACAGGGAACAGGGACTCTGCAAGTCTAATACCCTGACAACATCAGCAGGGGGTTTTCTAGGCTGAGACAGACCAGTGTCATGACCAAGCCTGTGGCGTGACACCACCACCTTCAGTTTCCTGCAGATGCTGCAAAGAGCATCCAGCACTTACAAGGCACGAATCAGGCAAAAGCACTCGGTGATTTCACATGCCTCACCTCTCCACCTGAAATTTCTCTCTCCTCACAGGCTTTGGGGAGGTTGGCAGAAAGCTGGTGGATTCTCTTTTCTCTATTAAGACTTTTAAAACTGCAATTAAGGTCATCTCACTGTGACATCTCATATATACATACACATATATATATACACAGGGCTGCCTTCATAAAAGGGACTATTACACCATAGTAGATCAGTGCATCTCACTTGAAATCTTGGGATAACTAGCATACAGTTCTCTGGATAAAACAGGCAAAACAGTAACTTCTACTGCACCTAAAAATGTGTAAATTCAGGTGACTATTTATTACAAGACCAGGCTGCTGTTCTGTCCTGTGCCTCAGCTATTTCCATGGCAAGGCAAATGGAACACTTGTGCAAGAGGTTATTTCATGGATGCTCATAAACTTTGTTCCAACAGACACTACAGTCATTGGGGGGTGCCATCACTCACGCAGCCATGAGTTTTATTTTGAAAGTATCCTCTATCCCTCCGGATACCTCGGATATCCCTGTGAAACGTACGAAGCCTTCAAGTTAGTAAGTATATCATCAGCCCAGGGGCGAGCGAGCGGGTCTCTGCACTCACGATAGGTCCCACAAATAAACACACTTATGAACCATGTTCTTCCTCCCCCCGCCCCCCATCCACGTTCTATTGCAAAGTGGATTCAGGGAAATTACCCTCCCAGTGGAAGGGCAAAATTGGCTTATATTTCATCCTAGACTGTAGCTGAAAAAATATTTGGACTAGAGAGTTTCAGACCATCATGCACACAGGTATTAAACCTGCTCATTCCATGCGGGCTCAATACGCATGGGTGCAGGAGCTGTTATCTGTCAGGTTTTGGTGGTAAAGTAT